TTGTCAATTTATAATTATTTGACCAGCTTAATCTGCAATCATGGAAAGAATTTTCCACATCTACCCTACTTTATCACAATTTTGTTACTCCATTCTAGTTTCATTTTTAATCAATTACGATCATAACATAAATTTCACAGAAAAAGCTCTTATTTGTAATACCTAGAAATAGATTAGTAACCAATCGATAAAATAAAATCTTTCTTTGTTGTATTATTTGATCTGTTATCGGCCTATCTTGGCTTTATTAATGAATTATGGAAAGATGATAGACGATAGATTTTGATCTTTCCAGACGAAGAAAGATATATAGACTGCAATTCTAATTATTACGTCAAGATTAATTGTGATATTCCGCGTGTTAAAAATAAATGGCATTAAAATGATAGACAGGGACGACAAAACCAAGGAGAAATTTATAATTGACTCGATTAATAGATATCTATATATTTGATATAAAAATATATTTGTTAAATCGATATACTATACAAGTCTCTTGATGAGAGACAAAGAATAGAAAAAGTCGTCTAAGCTATTTTACTACGCTTTTCTTTCTAATAACACTACAGAAAAGCAAGACTAGCTATTGTAATCCTTGTTCAATATCATCGTTATAGTCAAAAATCAAACAAAAAATTGTATTACTGTATTAAGATGGAGTTGCAATAGCAACGATAAATTAGTATTGAGAAGGGTCAATTAAAGTTTTGATCTTGATATTAAGTAACGTCATAAGTGGTTGTTATAAATTCATACTTTTGATAAATTCAATCAAGGTCTAGTTTAGGGTTAATTTTTATTTATTTACGTCATGACAGATTATAGAAAGAAAGAAAGAATTTCAGCTAAAATTTGATTAAAAAATTGAGTATGATAGATTTTTAAATCATCGATGATAAATAATGTTAGGATTTTACGTTCAAGTTTTATGTCGCGTTACTGTAGCCTCGATTGCAAAACACCGAATAGAAAATTAAATTGATATAATATACTTTGTCTCTCGAATTTAAATTACTAAAATTTGGTTTCTTCTGTCATAAATACTATTTCCAATATTGAACTTTTTAAATACGAAATGATAGTATACACTGCTGTTTAATTGATCTAGTAAAAGCATGGAACACTCTTTTCATTCGAGACATATTATTATTGTTTCTTTCTATTGTTATAAGCTCTCTATAGATGATTCGATCATATTATAGCGTTAATTTGCTAGGACTAATACCATCATTAAACAACATTGCATTTTCTGTACTGTAAGAAAAGCCTTACTTCTACTACAATGGCAATAACAGCAATATAATATACTGTATATAATATGTAATATTTAGTCAGTGTACAACGGCAGGTGGAAGGTGAAATTTGCTAAAATTTTAACCTCTAGATATGGTAGAAAACTTGAAAATAATGGTAAACAAATTCTTTAAATATCATTCTATATCCTATAGTATTTGTAATATTGCAGTTTTTTAATATCGCATACCTATATGCCAGTAATTAAAAATAATGCAAAGCATGCAATGGACTCTTTCACTATTTTATCGCCATGTTACCATTTGCTAATTTGTCTAACATGTCATTCAATATTGATTTTATGATTATTAACATTTAACGTCAATTCTAATTTATTGACTTGATGATTGCCTATGATGTCATAAATTACGTCGAAATTGCATCAATCAAATTCTCTATTGACTTAACAGTATCTATTCTATGATATTGGCATCATTACTCTCATAATAATAGGTAATAAGTGTAATTAATGTTATAATCATGGTTTCACAATCAATCAGTCTATTCCTCTTATACTCAAGGCTAGTCATATAGCAATCATTCTATTTTATACCTATACTTATTATCAGTTTCTGCTTTCTTTCTACTTCATATTTGGTTTAGTAATCTCATTGTCAGATTAAATCAGTAATTATCCCAACTTTAGCCTATTTAAAAATTCACTTATATTTTCAGTAAAATCCGAAGAGATTATTATTCCATTTCTTGTTATTACGTTTTTTGTCTACTTAATGGTGTTTAGCCGTAATATAATATCATTGTTAGTTTAAATCAAATGATTATCCTAAATTGAGAAAAAATCATCCATTCCAATTTATTTGTGATTATAATAATAGCAAGCCATACACTAATAATTCAATTTCTCGTTATTACTATTTTTTCTGTTTGGTGCCAAGCCATGAAACAATATTATTGTTAAGTTACAAGCAATAATTATCTCAGCTTTAAATTAAGTCCGTTCTATTTTTACTTATATTGATAGTAAGTCATTCAACTATAATCCTATTTCTCGTTATTAATAGCTTTCTTCCTTAGATATTAACCTATAAAGTAGTATTATTTTGTTAAATTAAAATATAACAGTTACTCTCACTTCAAACTGCAATCCAAAGTATTCCAATTCACTTTTAGTCATCAGTTCTAACTAATTCTTGTTATTTATCATTCTTTTTGCTTAGTATTGAGCTACCAAATAAATCTTGTCAACGTAGATCGATAGCTTACAGTATAATTATCTCAACTTGGATTTACTATCTATTCTAATTTACTTATATCGGTACCGAGCCATATAGGGATGTCTCATTTCTCGTTATCACTATTTATCTGCTTAATGTTAAACTGTAAAATAATTTAATTTGTCAACTTTAGTTCGATAGTTAGGAATCAGCCCAAACTACAAATTCGATCATCTTAATTTACTCATTTTAGTAGAAAGGCAAGGAAAAATGTTCTACTTCTTAGCTTAAATTTATATTCTGGGAAATAAAAATAATATCCTTCAATTAAGTTAATATTTTATAATTATCCCACTCGGAAATACTACCGTATCTATTCCTAGTTTAATGACCCGTGTAAGCATGATCTTATTTTCTTTATATTATAATTATTATTACCATTATTTCTATTAAACATCAATCTATGAAATACAATTGTTGGCTTAAATCAATAATTTTATAGTTATTCTAATCTGGGAATCGCATTTATTCTGAGTTACTACCTTTTATAACTAGTTATACAAAGTGCTGCCATATCCTGGCCCTCGTCATTACTATTTTCCTACTCACCATTAGCTGTAAAAATAATTAATATTATTGTTAACTTAGATCAATGTTTACAGTTTCTTCAACTTCCTTCAATTTTTATATACTTGCACTCATATCAAGCTCTATCGTATTTTCGTTATCCCTGCATTTTCCTACTCAACATCGAACTATGAAAATATTGTTATTAACTTGAATCAATATTAATAAGTCTGTCAATTCGAAATTACCACCTACGTCTTATTTACTTGCATTAACAGCGAGTTATAGCAATTTCCACTTCTATTTATCATTATTTATTTCTAATTGGACGCTGAGCTGCAAAATATTATTGTTAGGTTTAATCAATAATAAAATCCCACCCACTGCAACGAGCAGCGCGGGGGTATTTATACTACTGTTAGATGACTGTGATTATGGGTTCATTTCAATAGGTCAGTATAAGATTCTTACAGTACTTTTTACCTCAAGATTACTTCATGTAAAACGAATAGCTCTAAGGTAGCAATTTCTGCAGAGTACTGATTTTTAAAATAGTATTCGTTATATCACTAAGGGTGGCCACTTGGCCTTTCATTTTGATTTGATGCAATACTCTGATGAAAATTGATAAACATTACGTAGATTCGCTATAAATTATTTGGAGTCGTATTGTAATTAGATGTCGAGAGTATTGGCCTGACAGTAGATTTGTAGTGTAATGCCTTTGTTGTAGTTGTAATTTCCTCGTGTTAGATTTTGATTTGTGACAGTAAGCTAACAACTAACTACAACTAGCTCTAATATTTATATACTTTTGTTGTAAAAACGTACTGTATACTAGTCAATTTTAATTTTAAAGCTGTAGATTCGCCTTGATTCTGCGGTTGTACAGTAATAGATGGCAATGTTTAGTCTTTAGATACTCTGTACCGCGGCTCCAAATTAGTCGATCAAGCATCATGCCTATTCAGGAATCCATCTAAGATAGTCTATCTGTTAATTTTCTTTGAATTTATTACTTTGTGCGTACTTACGTCACATTTTGATGTGCTAATTGCTTTGGATATACTAGAAATTCAGAGCAATTTGTACCTTACGCTGGTAGCTATCAATTATTTGGTAGTGCATTTCTACCGTCGTTTGTTACGTTATTAAGCCATGTTAAAATTCGCTGCTAAAAATAATTCATAAGTAGGAGAGTAACACTTAATCATATTAATAAAAGTGTGATACGGTTGCTTTCGATACATGTGCTTGAATTAAGTTGGGTATTACAAAGTAATTTCATATTCTGGTAGCCAAAATTAAACCTTTGCTTTTAAATAGCATTATCTTAGAATATATTATCAGTATTAATTGAGCTTACTTCTTTAATTCAAAATTTGCATGTCAACTATAAAATATTACGGTTAGCCTAACCAATACAATCTAGAAGACACGACATATCGATATTATGGATCCTTATGGTTACCTTTGATTTTCTAATAGAGCACCGTTACATCTTCTACTATTCAAATGGAGATTGAACGACATTTTCTTATGTATATGTATTTTTGTTTTATTGCAAGTATTCGTTAAAATACGAGTCATGAAAAAAATATTCTCGAAATGACACCAACCATGCAGTATCTAAATAAGTACTAAAATACATCCCACTCAATTTATGAACATGTTGATTTAGTGGAGATTTCAGATTATTTCGGACCCAGCTTTATTAACCTTCGTCACTACATGGAAATAAGTATATTGCTAGACCTGATAATATTGCTAAAGAAGGTCCAAGTATTACACGTTGCACTGTATTAGTTAAGCTTATACCAGCAATAGAAGTAACGATACAGATTATAAACTTGCATCAGCACATCTCGTTGGCGTTCTAGCATAAGTCAAGCGGATCTAGTAAAGTAATTGCCATCGTACGAAGTGATTCACAATCTGACAAGTAGTATTTTATTGATATTCCAATCAGTCGAGTTCCAGTGGGTAAGGTACTTTCTGATCATTTAATCCACACTTTAAATTATCAATAGCCATTTTAAATTGATGTTCGAGGGCATCGAAAGTTGACCATGCCATATGCGGCGTGATAATAACATTGTCAAAAGTTAATAATTTATGATCGAGTGGTAAAGGCTCGGGTTCTGTAACATCTAGTGCAGCACCTTGGATACTTTTATTTTCAAGTGCCTCAACCAAAGCATCATGATCAACAGTCTTACCACGGCTAATATTGATTAATATTGCATTTTTTTTCATTAATTGAAGCTCTTTTCTACTTATTATGCCAACAGTATCAGGTGTTAAAGCTACAGCTACAATTACAAAATCGCTTTGTTGCAATAAATCCTCTAAGTTGCAATAAGTTGCATTGAGTCTAGATTCTGTATGGCTATCTTTCCGACGACGACTATGATAAAGTACTTTCATCTCAAAGCCAAGGCTACGCTGGGCAACTTTGCAACCGATCGCACCCATACCGATAATACCTAATGTCTTGCGGTAGACATCACCAGATAATCTCAACCAATCCTCACCTAAAGTCTCCTTTGACCTCCAGAACTTTGCACCGGGGATTAAAAGACGAGCAGAAGATAGTAATAATGTAAAGGTAAAATCAGCTACAGCATCAGCATTAGAAGCCGGTGTGTACCCTAGTTGAATGCTACGATTTGCAATTGCTTTCGGATCGACATTATCACATCCGACGCTATAATTACTAACCACTTTAAGGTTAGGTAAACGCTTTAATAAGTCATCATTGACGTAGTCGTTGGACGAACATAATATGCCATTAATTTTACCAGCAATAGCTTCATTTTCCACTTCCTTCCATGGTACAACTTGACCAAGTTGATGGACCATCTGCAATTGCTCTTCTAGCAGCTGGTACGTTGTCAATAAGATGAAATTAGTTTCTGCCATAGCTCATGATAGTAAAGAAAGAACGTTTTTACTACCAATATGAATCAAACTACCCCGCCCAGTCTATGGGTGCTTATACAGTACAGATGTACAGTACAATATACTGTACGTAACTGTAGGCGTGGAATACTGTACTGTGATGTACTGTACAGTACAGTACAGTACTATATAGGGAAGCACAGTACTGTACTGTACACTGTACAGTACCGTACTGTATGGGGAAGCACAGTACTGTATAATGTATATGCAACGGAAAATACCGACGTACGGACATACCTTCCCCACATACTGTACGCACATACTGTACACATAAACTCTCTCCTCAGGGGTTGGTAAGAAAAATGTCCTTGCTGCACTTGGTGAAAAGGCGAGACATCTACTGTATATTATTCTAGAAAATAATTGTATTCGTGTGTGTATGTGTGTGTGTCTGCATCCATCCATCCAAGAATCTGTATATCTACAGCCATAGCTAGGATATACTGTATAGAATTAACTGATACTGTACTGTACTCTAAACTAGCATTTGAACTTCTGCTTTAATTACACGTTCTACTATTCGCCAGTTGCCACTACAAAATTAAGTACGCACTATAGGCTCTACGTACTGGTACACTCGTTAGATATAATATTCTTGCTGTTTATACATATGCTTGTTAGGGGACTACATCATACCAGCTAAAACTATACGGCATTAATATACTCAGTGCAAAGTGGCAACGATATTTAATTACGAGTATATAATGTAAAGTAAAAAATATAAGTAAAGTACGTTATGTATCCCGAGCGAGGGTTCGATTGGTAAATATAAAAATATTGCAGTACTGAAGTTGAGGTAGAGGCCATTACAACCACACCTTGCTATCATTTCACTCAACTGAAGCTCTTCTGAAATGACGCTAGAATCCATTGATTTATGCAACACCAGTAAAAAATAGATCCCATTCCCCTCACCTAGAAAAGTCTGGCAGCCTTTATATATGTACCTTTCTTTATATGTTACAACTTCTTAAAAATTATCTTGTAATTATATTATTATTATTATCATTAATCCCCGACATTACTTAATGGCTGTAAGATTATTCTAAGAACATCGAGTATGGACTCACCGGCCATGATCGTGACCGGCTATTTCATTATATGTAAGATGCAGCATAGTATCGATAGACATGCAAGCTAGACATTGAAATCTCTTATATTAATCACCGTCAAATACTAGCAGAATCACTTCGCGCATGAACTCATTCTGAAAATAAAATTTATTTGAAGATAGAATAAAATACAAGAGCTACATCAAAATTTTTTACCATTATACCAGTATCAATGTAGTACCCAAAATTTGGGATTCATAATATTGTAAATCACTGTACTGTATACGGTATAGTGAATAATTTCATGCGTATTTTCATATTTATACAGTGATTATTAATAAGTGAATAACGCTCCTCTTTGCATATTCGGCAATCTCAAATATATCGTGCGAGAACTTCTATATTTAATCTTCATCCAATTGATTATCTACGATCCTTCGAGACTCCATCCCAACGCTGTTTCTCGACATCAATGGCTTCATGGAAGAGAGCAAACTTTGATGAAGCATTGGGAATAATACTTCTTGATTAGCTAACAATTGTTTTACTCTTCGACGTTCCTAAAGAAGTCAAGTGACAGCATCTCAGCCATGAAACTTATTTACTTAATATTGTCCAAAATTTTTTAAATTACGTTCGCAATACCAATTATTGCGAAATTACTATCAAATATCACTCAGTAATGTTAATATTATTTACGAACAGCCGTTAATTACGTTATTATAATTAATCATCATAATTTTCTTAAAGCAATCCTACACACATTTGCTCAGCAAGGTAGTCATTTAATCGCTATGATAACGAAAGCTATAAATTTATAAGCAAAAACTGGTAACTATTGAACAACTTTCTTCGTTAAAAATAAGTACATCGCATAGTATTCGTGAAGTGTCCATACAATGTTAAAATTGCTCAATACTTATGAACATATATTTTACCTTTGGGGCTTCGAAACAAGCCGGACAATTTTCCGGAATCACTGGTAACTTTGCCTGAAAATATAATGCAAATCACTTCACATACGATCCTGTCATAACATATAACAATGGATATCACTATGCAGTGACCTGTTCTGCAAATATTTTCAATTCCTGCTCTCTAACGTAAACAAATGGCCGTATAACACGCAGATCTTTCTCTCTGTAGAATGCATACGCGAAGAAAACATTCCATTTGCTTTATAATGTAATACTAAATATTCGCAGGTATTTTATAACGCCCATACAAATTTTTTAGCTCTGATAATACTTACCTTACAGTATAACAAGCCTTCATAGTACGCAAGAAACCGTTATGAAATATAGACATTAAAAAGCTATGAAATAACAAAATATCTAAGATACCGAGTCATTCAGAAACTCTAGTTATCACGATATCAGCATAGAATAAAGCCATTATGATTCAGCATATTATAGAAACATTATGATTATGTAAGTACTGAAAAATATCAAACCTTTCTGATAAATCATCGAGATGTTGACCTAGTGCAATAACATTATATCCCTCACGTCGTGCACATGCATAAATTCTGCCACGCTTCAATCTGGAACAGAAACTACATATCGAGTCGCAGCGATCAACGTTGCTTGCTGCAGTTATTATATCTAAGAGAACAAATATTTTACAGTTGAATTGGAGAAAGTACAATATCTAAAAATTTTACTATACGCGTATTAAAATTAGTCATAACCTTGCTCTTCATAAAAGTATGGAACTCCTAATTCAGCCATATATTTGATTAATGGTCTAGGATTGTAACCAGATGATTGGGGATCAATTGTGGTGGCTCCAATATCAAAATGAATTCCCTAAAAGAGATAAATTTGACAAACAAAATAAATAAATAGATGAGTAAATTCAATAATTGCCTTTGGAATAAAAATTCGCTGACTTGTATATATATAATTTGTACTACTGTACATATTCGTATAAGTTACGAAGCATGCTACCTACTTTTGCACGTGCGTAGAATTGATATTGCTTCAATGTATGTAGTAATGATAGCGAATCTTTGCCTCCAGATATACAGACGAGAATTTTATCGTTTTGTGCAATCATATTAAAATCCTGGACTGCCTGCAAGCATAATTATTCGCAATATAGTAAAATGCATTGATCTCCATTAAAATAAGTTCTACTTTGGCACATGCACATCAGTCTTGGTAGTGACAGTTACAAATTTATAATTGTGGTAGTATTTGAAATTATGGCTGTTGCTGTGCAGTATGCACATATAAGGTATTCGCTTATGTGCATTGATAGAGGTAATATTGAGGATAAATCTTACCTCAATTGTCAGCTTTATGATCTTTTTCGGAGGCACATGAAAACGAACTTTAAAATTATATTGTTTACATTGCGATACTAAAATTTTAGACTTCGGTTCAGATGCTTGGAAACCAATACCGGATTTCGCTATATTATTAAAGGTGTAGAGACAATTATATGTAGTTTTAGCATGAAACGATTCAATGTAAATCTTACCATCGCACTCATTACTTATGTTTTTATCCAATGTACACGGTGTTGAATCTGAAAGGCTTTGATTCTCGTAACCGTTGGTTTTATTACCGGAGATTTTGCTACTACATTTATTAATCACGCATGCATGATCTTGTAATACAACTACGCCATCTTCACCATAGTGACGAGGAATAAAAGGCGGTATGAAAGTCCTTTCCATATTAAGATTTTTACCAAGCAGAATTTGCTGCGCTTCACAAGGATACATAAACCATCTTAGAGACTCTCCATGCCCTCCCAGTATTAAGGTTTGATCAGATATCGACGGTAACTATAGCACATAAATAATTTTATATGCTAATTATTATCTTAGAAGGGTTATACGTATGAATCAATGTCATTAATAAAACCATGAAGATATCAAATCCAACCTGGCCTGGGTGTATTTTTTCTAGCTGTGTTTTCGCAAGACTAAGATATTCCTGTTATGAAAGTAAGTTTTATGGTTAGCATATTATCATCTTCAGATATTATTCGCACGAGCTATGCTTCAAGAAATACGTACATCTAAAGATTCTTTGCAATTAGTTGACGTATTATTCACATAATTCATAAAACCTAAGTCATAATTTATATTGCCTAGCCATTTTCGGTCTTTAAAAACCTGTAATTAATCAGTACCAGCCAAAATTACTTAAATCTAAAAGCTGAAAATTTGTAGGCTTTAAAATAACCTGAAATGATTGATGTCTCCATTGGCTTGTTTCTGGATTAAAGGTATACTACAATAATAAGGTACATTTTAGATAATATAAAATCTGTACCTCATTCCGGGGTGAGAAACGCTATTAATGGCAAATATTTCAATTTAATTTATATTTACGAAAGGGAGTAACTTCCATCCATGCTGAGCAGTTAAAAGCAATGCTTCTGTGATGTATTTTATTTCCTCATCGGACATGAAATACGGTAAATTGATCCTAGTAAAACCCGGTCTGATTGTAATTCGGATATTGAAAAAAATACAACTATTAGGAGATCTCGCTCGTAGAAGTACGGGCAATAAAATGAAAAGTTTATTAGTACCTCAAAATTTCGTTGTCAGATCTTTCGTCAAATCTTTGGAAGCAGTGACGTAAACATACATTATTTATAGGTAAACTAACAGTGAAATTAAGAAAATATCTACCTATATTCAAGGAGTATACTCTCATAATTTTTAGCAAGTTCTTCATTGATGCCAAGCAGGTCCTGAAAGTATACAATACCCAAATCGTATAACATTAATTACAACCGTTATAGATTAATTTTATACAAATTTTCGTTAAAATTGCTACAGTGATAATAGATAAATCAAACATTTGTTGCTAATTCGTAAGACTTATACAACTATACTGATAGACAATTATCAAATAGAAATATTATCCCCAAAAATTGTATAGTTTATTAGTACGAAAGTAAGGTAGAGTTGCATTTTAGAACACCTCAGCATACGGTCCAGCACAAGCACATCCTCCCCTGGCTTGAATACCGAACAAGTCGTTTAATAGCACGCATACGTAGTTATAATGTAAGAAACGTTTCGTTTCCGAGTGACGGATTAAGAAAGAAAATATTGGCAATCGAGGAACGTCCGTATTGCCTAGTATAAGCAGGTTAGGGCACTTTGACCATTTCGCAAGGGCTAATCTAATTAATGATACAGAATACTCTTACAAAGGCGTAACACTTTTAGATGACCATAAATTTAGAACTAGATGTTTTTGACGCTAAAAACTTAATAGAATATTACGATTCTTATCAAACTTACTTAAGAATCTCACGTTCCCTGTTCATGATACTCTCCGGCGTTAAAGCCTAATTTATCGCAACATCACCATTTTATTACGCACTAGTTTATACATTATCAATATCTGTAATAAAATAGTCTATTAATTTACCATTTTTAGCTGAAACGCTAAACTGGCACGCACCGAACCGACTATATCAGGAGTTCCACCTTCTTCTCGGATTTCAATATCTTCCAAGTATCGATGACTCTGTTGTGTAACCTATCATCATTAATTAGCGTTATGGATACCATTTATGTGGATTATTAAGGCATTTATACAGCACTGTTTACGCTTACGAAGAAAACCGTTCCTCCTCCACTAATAGCAGGGCTAGGATTTCTAAATAGAGACTTCTTTGCAATTAACAAACCTTCCGGGATCAATTTCAAGGCAGAAACTACGTTTAGTTTAAATTTAATATGATTAATACAGCAAAATCCAGAATACCTGGAGAACCCACTCCTCCGACAAATTTGTGAGGAGATAAGTATATCGCATCTTTAAATGCCAAATGTTGGTCATCACTGAAAAATGGTACCAGAATTTTTAATGATTATGCAAGATTTATGAAATAGGGCAGAATGATTTCTGAACGATACTAAAGATCTTAATACTACCAAATGTAGACATGGATTGCGTAATAACATTCTCAAAAGTAATATTTTAAAGTAAGGATATATTCACTGAATCTTTATTAAATTTTTCTTATTAACAAATTATGAATAAAATACTGTAACATAAAAGGCTTACTGCGTTAAGACTGGATTCATATCGATATTTGTATATGGAGCTAGAGAAAAGAAATAGGTCATTCTGTATCAGAACTCAACTGCTCGTATAGTGCAAATTCAGAGTGACAATGCAAGTAATTAACATCAATTTAGAAAATTAGCGTCCAACCAGCTGTTGCATAGTCCCAAAAGGCAAGAGCTCCATGCTTATGCAAACACATGGTAATAGCATCCGTATCAACGAGTATTCCCGTAATATTTGAAGCAGCAGAAAAGCATCCGATCATCTGAAAAGCTGTAGCTTTATTTTCCTATCAAATAGATATTAAAGCAATAAGTATGGTACACAGCCATATACAATAATGCCGAAAAATTCTCCCATCAGCATAATTGACATTTGGTTACGTTGAAATTTCCGTAACTATCGTACTTGTAGTTTTTCATTAAGGTCTTTTTGATCAACACATCCACGTTCATCTTCTGCAATCCTTATTACCTGTGACGTATCGTTGATGTTCAGGAAGAATAAGGACAACAGAAATGATAAATTTTTTGAGAGATGTTATCGTAACACCGTTACGGTATGACATAGCTGTTACCAAAATATGCATAGTACTTTGATACCTTAGTTCCTAACTCCCTCCATGGTAATAAATTAGAATGGTGTTCAAATGGGCCTACAAATATTACCTTTATATTCAGAATTGATATATTAAAATCTTTCCAGCTCCAAAGCAAAGTAATACAACATGATTCACCGATGTTAATCAAACAATAAACATAATTGACAGAAGATATAGTTCAGTTCATATACATCGTATACTGCAAGCGAAATTCTCTACGCTAAAACAATCATATCAAGCGATATGATTACCTTGATATATTTTCTATATTTGTTACGATAATTACGTAGCCATCTGATTAAAGTATTTTTCGCAATATTACACTTACTGTTTTGGATGGATCAATATTTAATGCATGAACAAGTTCATGGATAGCTCCAGTACAACCGCTACCAGTAAATATAACTCTATCATTTACTGAAGCATTGACTGCACTGCGTATTATGTCCCTGTATATTATATTAATAATAGTAAATTTTAAGTATTATTTAGATCTGAATTATAAACTAATCAATCATATAACATAAGTATACATACTGCATATCTTATATTAGCCTTTTATAGTAATTATGAACGACCGCAGAGTACCAAATTTCAAAAAGTAGAAATCATTCATGATACAAAAATTATTTATTTTTCTGATTCAGTACCAAAATTGACTGATATAATTTTCATCAATTTGCGAGTAATCTAATAATCAAGAAGAACTAGAGTTCTATTTGCTATGGATGGTTTTTCCGCATAATCTACCTTGCTTCATGCCTATACAATGTTGTTTGTTGTGAGGTCACTGTCGTAGTGGTGTGCGTATTACCATACATAGGTAGGACTTCATTTCTGATATAATCTTCGATGAAAGCTAATGCTCTATATCAAATAAGTAATAAATACATTGACTCGTATAAGATATACTTGGACCATTACTAAAAGTTGAATTACTGTATTAAATGTATATAGCAAAGATGTTGTAGTTATGGTATCATGATTAATAACTAGTGACGTTTGTCACTACCTCGACTATACCTTGCTGCTATTAATTAATATAATACTACCAGTTCATTATATCGTGAATGTAGAACTCGTTTTAACGTCGGTAAGCATCAATTAACTGTAAATCCATAAACTGTCACTAGAAGCTAAAATAAGTCTCAAGTTCATTCAGTGATAGCATTTGCAATAGCAGCTGCTATTAGATAAACTTTTAGGCATTCAGTACGTAATTATACGTATCCTAGTAATTATAATGTACTACATTCTAAAGCTGCATAAGTCATAAGTAAGTATTTTTACCGTGTAAGTTACTTTATGTAAATACTACTTTAAGAACTTTCAATTTGCGTTTGATAATTACTGTGCAAGCTGTCGAGTGGAGCACTAATATTACTCATGTACGCGTCAGCAACAGCTCCATTAGAGGAGGACATTACTCAAGGGCTACATTGTCAAGAGCTAATTACATGTCTGTTATATAATGCTATTTAATGGGTTTCAACTTACTTGCCAGATGCAGTATAGTCACAGTAGATGACTGTAATATTAACCAAAGGGAATTTATTAGTAGCAGATTTGCACAAGATTTACGCAATAGATGACATCGTTATGTGTAGCACATATTGCAAAGTGAATTCGATTTGAAATAGCGTCAATTACATACAACTATATGACCTGATATCAATATTACTGAAATGGAGAAATGAAATTTAATGCTAATCATCTACACACCACTTTTTTTTCCGTAAGGGCCATCCACAGTTGTATTTTTACCTATAATATTGCTATTGATATACTGGAATAGCACCGAAGCATTTTGAATTGGATGATGGCGATTGGTGTTCGCGGTGTCTCCAATCTTTGTCGGTTTGATGGGTTTCTCATAAAATGAACGACGACCATGAGGTAACGGTTGATAATTCATGAATAAACCGCAGTAATAGCAATAGCAGTATAGTATAAAAAATTGGAGGTTTTAATTTAAATAATTCTGATGATAAGTGTTGGAAATCACTACTAGCTGGAAATAATAGTGAGGTACGAAGTTGGAATTGGAAATCCTATGACTGACAGCCTATGGGACATAGTAGACACAGTCTATACTGTAACTGTAACTAGCCATCCATTTGCTTACAAGTAACATTAGGGTACGAAGCGCCGAACAGTACTGTACACAACTGTGCTATACTGTAACGGCACAAGCTCTTTTTCTTATTCGATTCTTTAATACGAAGTTAAAGACTTTAGTATTAATTAACCAATGTACAGTAACATAATATATATGCTATACACGTACATCAATCGACATTTCCGCATCTAAAAAATTTTTCGGATTTGGTAAAAAAATAAGCGCATATAATACAGTATGTGCTGATTTATCGATTTGGAAAAGGATCACAGTGTGCACAGTATGGTACAGTACGGTACAAGTGGACTAGATACTGTACAGTACAGTACTATAATATTTTCCTTCATGAGAAACGCAGTGATTCAGACTCGTCTTTAGACTCGGAAAAGTATCAGGATGTTTATTCAGGTTATTAACAAGAATCACAAACGGAGAGGCTAGTAACACAACTGATTCAGACTCGTCTTTAGACTCTCAAAGTATCAGCATTTTTATTCTGGTTATTGACAAGAATCACCCACAGAGAGAGGCCAGTAAAACAGAACTGGTCTATAATATAGAGAACTCGTCTTATATACGTACTGTACTGTAGACAAGTGACGCTTATCTATTAGCTCTTAATGTACCGTATACTCATTACTCAAGCAAAATCACATGTATAATTAGGAATCATATATTACATCTCTCCTTTTTTTAACAACAAAAAAAACTTCACCTTTAAATTATATATAATTATTAACTTTTAGTCTATTATGCCCGAGTTAAAATTGATGAGCTACGACCATTATCGTGATTAAAATTTATAATACTTCAATGTGATTGCTCCATAGCTATTATTCTGTTATGCCCGAGCTAAAATTGATGAGCTACGACAATTATCGTGATTAGAATTAGGGGAAAATTAATGATATGCCACTATATTATTAGAATTAGCAACATTGCAATGTGATTGCTCCATAGCTATTAGTCTATTATGCCCGAGCTAAAATTGATGAGCTACGACCATTATCGTGATTAGAATTAGCAACATTTCAATGTCATTGCTTTATGGTTCTATATTAATCAATAATTTCTAGATCATACGATTGCTACAGTAGATTACTTGTTCATAAATGGAGCCGTACTGTAAAATTATCTTTCAATATCATTCAAAGGATGCCTTCTCAATCTGATTGTTCGATATGTGTACACTGGACAGTCAACAATAGGTTCCTAGACACAACATAACCCTAAAAGAAATGATAGTTTACTTACTGTATAGCCACTAGTCCGCTGTAGTTAAAAATAAGAAAGCTACGACGACTACTCCATTAAAATTGAGTCTACGATGCTTTAGAGAAAAGGACAATTTGACATGAAACTGTCAAAATAGCTGTTTTCTTTTTATTCTACAGTATAGCATTAAGAATAAAAAAGTGTAATCCGTAAACATGTTAGAAAATGTTACAAAATAGCGAGATATAAATTAGCAGAATTTTCAATTTATTACATTTCTGTTACAATTTTTACTTCAACTAAAGATATATCCACATATACAGTACATATAATGTATACGTCCATTACTTATTACAAGACATCGATTGCAGTTTCACCATTCATTTTTTTTTACGATTAATAGATCGAACTCTTCGTGAAAATAGCAATTTTAAATATTGTTTGTAATCAGTGTAGTAACATTACAAGAATTTATACATGCCCGATTCTCGGGATTGATCATAACATGTCATACGTTATAACATCCATATAACACAAGTCGCAAAGCGTATTGATGAGGCTAATGTAGTTAAAATAATATCAAAAAACGGATTGTATTACCATTATCAAAGCTTCTGTGTGCCTCAATTTAGATCAATGCATCATTTGGTTTATGTCACGTATAATAAACGTAAACAGATACCGTGTGTAAGTTATTGTAGGAGTCAGGTATAATATTTACCCATAACTTTCATAAATTTCATGGTAAATCTGCAGACTGTAGTATATCAAGCCTATGTAAAATGATAAAATTTTCAAAAAAATACCATCTATAGTATATTTTCAAGTTTACAAAACTAGTTTGTTAAGAATAAAAGTTAGGTTAAATTTCCGCCAATAAGTTATTGCTTCCTTGCTTGCTTGCTCCCTATTGGTGGTAACTTTGCATACTAGTTGTAGAGAAAGAAATTATAAGTACTAATCTTAGTAGAAACGTATGATGTGCGCTCTTATTAACATAAAACAAGTTGATTAACAGATTAGTATTCGTTCTAGTGCTGGTAAAACCATTTACAAAATCGATAAGTGTAAAACGTTACCAAAATATTACGTTTTAATACCATAACTCAACGTACCTGACTTTCTAGTAAGCTCGATTGCTAAATATGAAAATTAAAACGGCAATTGTTAATTATAGTACTCGATTATAAGACAATCAACAACATTCTGACAGCCTAGGAAACTTTACTGCTATTCATTATCATAATGAATATTGCACATCACTACTAAACTATAACAAGGTAGATGTTTTAACAGTAATTACTTAGACTATAACACTCACATATGAGCTAGCTACTTCGAAACGATCAGGAAACTATTATAAAAGAATGGAAATATCAGTAATTATATTATCATACAGCAAACGTACCCTACAAATTTCATTGAATGCCGATTAAAGGTCAATTTACCTCTTCATCACCTAGATCGTTATCTAAATCCATCTTATAAAAGCTACTCTTGTACTCAGTTGCAGGGGCTTTTATTCGTTTAGGCGAATTTAAGCGGTACATTGGTAAACTAGAAAATACTCCAAGCGTACTTCGAGATGATCCCAAGATATCCGAATTTGGAATCTATTTGAGGAAACATAAAAAGGGAGAATTGTTAATGATTCTGTACCATGGCTTATATCTAAAAACATGCAAGCAATCTCACATCCTTGTACTATTGGCAAATAAAAAGTTATATGCATTGCCAATGCCTATCGCCAATGTATGGTAATTATTTAGAGATAGAAATTACAAAAAGCCTTCGTATACCGATAGAAAATTAAGTAATCATTCGATAGTAGACCTTACCTTCGCCTTTGCTAACGCACCAAAAAACTTCTTATTATCCTTTGGTCTTGTTTCAGCAGGAGCTGATCTACGAAATGGTTTCCATCTATAAAATAAAAAATAGTTAATTTGCTGCAATACATCATATTATGAACATAAGCATAAGCAAAAGAAAAATTTTACTGTGCTATATCTCGATTTCTTCCTGCCGCAATAAATAATTTATAGCATAGTTTAAGATGCAAATGAAAAACATACAGTTGTCATGATAAATTGCATATATTAAATGATATTTAAGTGAGCACAAAATTTGGCTATAACAAGGCAGATAAGAGCAAAGTTCTTGTTTACAATATTGTTCATCGTCATCGTATACAGAAACAACTGCATTTACTGTTTCAGTAAATAACTACAAACATTTTCAGAGACATTAGCTATCAATTTATTGTAAAAGTAGTGTATCTTAAACTACGATAGATTTTGACTTGGTGGAACTGGTTGTACAAAGTACTAAGCAGCGTAAAAATTTATCTAGAAAATACAGTAGCAGATAATCGTTGTAACTGCCAGTACATCATTTAAGTAAATATACTGCTCATACACGCTCGCCGATATAAATTATCATAACTAGTTGCCTGCTACTTACTTTGCATTGTCGAAAAAAAGTGGACATTCTAAAGATGGATTCTCTTTTCTCTTTTTAGATTCAGCCTTAGTTACATTTTTTACTGGTAATAAGGGCCTCTATTTATAGGATGAAGTAAGATTTTTAGAATTAACCAGTCGTTATTCATTTCAGTTTTGATTTTACACGGTGAAATTAAAATATATCACAAAATCATGAATACAGTAAGAACAAAATAATAGTATAATTTGTACGCATACAGCTAATACTTTGGTAGCTTTTTCCATATTATATAATAATAGGCAAGTACTAAAATTAAGGACCAACTGAAATTAAGTTTATCCATATTGTACTCCACCTATATTCGTTATTTAAGATAACGATCTCAATTTTTAATTACAGTAAATAGATTTTTAAAATTTTTCGTTTTAATTATTTGTATGTGGCACTGTAACCTTTGTTTTTATTAATAAGTAATAACGTACATATCGTATATATAACGGAAATAACTTTCGAGAGCTTTAAAGTATACCATACACAATTGCTAACTGCAGGCGCGTCATAAAATTAATGTTACCTCCTGTATATCTGACGGTCTAGCCGGAGTAGAAGGAATTGAATCGAATGAGTTTAGATGCCAATTCCTCGGTTGACCAAAATAACCAATAAAATGGCCAGTTCGGCAATGCCAGACTCTGTATCAAAATATATTAATGCATTTAAAATGAGTATTACAATTTCCTATAGCAATTGCTATTTACTCATCTAACATTCAAGTTATTGGTTAAATTACATATAAATTATTGTCACCAATTTAAAAATAAATTTACATTCCTGCTGCATTTCATAAGCTACATATTATCTATAACATATCCTGGAAATTACTATTACAATAAGCTATTTAGGGACGAATTACCTAACGGAACAATCTGTCGATGCAGAGAAGAGGATATTATTACCAGAGAAATACTTTAGACTGGTAACAGTAAATAAGTGAGCTCTCCAAGTTAGGATTTGGACTATAAGCTCCTATTTTATTTTGAAGGGCATGAGAAATGAGCACAAATAATACAGAAATGCATAAATGTTTTAAGGGTCTTACTTCTACTTTTAAAGGTCTTCTTCTACTATTATCATCAGCTTGTAACTGGGTAGCGATACTACTATCGCGACGGATGGAATTTTCTTGCAAGACTTGACGCGGATTTTGCATAAACTTAGAAATATTCCATTTAGTAATATAGCCCTCTGTTAAAAAATTTTAATTTTTTTCTTCTTATTAGAGCTGATAAGTAGAATTTTTGGGTCTATAAGCTTATTAATGGCGGTAATAATAGCCTATAACTAATGCAACGTACTATTCAAACTTTTATCAACTCCACAAAATAACTTACTTGAATTTGCACTAAAAACGTAATGGGAATCGTCAGATGCACAAAGTGCCGTAATGGGTGGTAACGCGGTGCCGTGTCTATTTGTAGACGTGGTAGTATATGCTAGGAGATTTCCCTAAGAAGTAATGAAACAAAATAAAGAAAGAAACTATGTTAAGTTGTGTGCTTGTTACAATATCCTTAGCATCGTAAAGTATAAATTTTATAATTTTTGACATTAAAATGTGCTTAAGTAAATATAGGTCTTAAAATAGGACATTTATGTTTTTAGAAGATCCTTACATATTTGCTGATATAACGATACCTTTACTGATACTAAATTTAGTAAAACTAGTATTAGAGTATTTTGATATCATGATTATGATTACATGTTTAATGTTATGGTCGCCGAATGTTGTTCTAGACAAGGTCTTAGAAAAAGTGGGATAACGTAGGAAAATCTGTTTACTTATTTACTAGGGCTATGAACACTGAATTAAGAGATAGAGATGGCAATAATAACATGTTTCCGCGTAGACGTTTTTTTATATAACTAGAGTTTTTCTTAAAATAAAGATAACTGTTGTTAAAGACTTCAGTTCAAAATGTGTCTTAATTAAGTTAACTTATGCATTTCTTGTTCCAACTACTGAGTTATGACAGTGCTATACATAGAAATTAATTGGCGTAGATCAAGGCCTCTCTATCTGTTGTATTCACACGATGATATTAGAATTACGGGAGCATGTTAGGCAATAGTTTACATTAGCTTAGTTAGTGATGCAAGCGCATTATCCACTCAGAAAAACGCTGGTATTCATAAATCATAATATTTTCTCACTCTGATAATTATGGCACGATATGCAGAAATGCACAAGTGAACAAAATTTTTATGATAAGATTACAATTTCAATTATTAATATGAATCGCTTTGAGCGAAGTACTAATGTTAAGTAAGTTAGTACCTATCTTTTTACAGTATCCATTATTTTACCTTCATATTCCAAAATCTCATATAACCATCATTATGACTTGTCAATACTAGAGGCATCGAGCATACTTTCTGAGCTGCCGAATAGGAATTAACGTCCGGATTTGTTTTACGAATCTGATCGTTACTACTTCCCTCAAGACTATTGCTTTTATCCGCAACTTCTGAATGGCTTTCATTTCGATCTGATTCTACGTTAGATTCAGCATAAGCCGGCAATCCTGGCTGAGTCTCCTTTGTATTATTTTCATCTCCAGAAGTATTAGTTTCGTCACGAGTTCCAATTTGCAAGCGTGATAGCATTAATGTAGTATTTTTTCTGGGCAATTTTGTTACTTTTTCTGTCAATTCCTTTTGATACATAAAGTCATCGTTTTCTTCGCTCTCTACTTCCACTTCTTTTACTGTTAGCCTATTCCTAATAGTTTAACGTACTTGCATTATGCATAGAAGTAAATGGCAATTGGATGACACACACAGTTCGTAAATACTACAGGCGATATGATTGTATGCATAATGCACTCCTTCATATTCATCATAAAAATTGAAGTAATCTAATACTGTAATACGGCGATCGTGTTTAATATTAAATACTTTATAGCGAAAAAATATCTCTGATATAACGTCATTTTAACAATCGCTGCGTAGGTCATCAGTTATTTCATATTAATAAGAGCATAGATTATATTCAGATGATATTCCTACCTTGTCGTTAACTTATTCTTAGGTACATAAATGGATACCAAAATTACAGACGCATTAACCTGAACATCAACTTTATGACCATCTTGGCGATTCTGTTCTATCGGCAACGTTCGAAATCTGTGATATATTTAATTAAAATAATAAGCTTGACTTATTCTAATTTTGTGTTCAAATAGTGAGAACAAGTTAGTATAGCGTTGGAGTGTAACATACGAAGTGATTATCTGTTTTGTTATTAAGCTGCCAATGTAAATGTTGCCAAGGTGGCTACCGATTACAATGTAAGTTGGTTTTAGGAAATCAACGCAGGTTACATCGAATAACTGTTTACCCTATGTTAACCAATTTTAATTAAACAACTAAATTAGAGATTAATGAAGAAATTTCAGGGATAACTTAGACATTTATGGTGTTTAATAGCAATCGAGAAGAGAAAGAGGCCATGACGGCACTGTAGTTATCGAATATAATTCTTACTCGTAGAATATCAATTCAGAACGTAGTATTTACTAATACAATAATAGCTGACTACAGTCATTTCTTTATTGAGACTGATCGTAATCTACTGTACTTACAAAAAATCGCCATAAATCACTTGCTTGGATTAGATCTAGTATAGGGGATGGTGCATTACTTTTAGCATGATGACGAGCTATGAAGATATGAAATCATCGTAAGGCACAATGAAATTCTATAGATTTAATAGACAAATTATATCTCGCTCTCAAGTCTCATTTTAGGAAAACCTCTTTTTCCAATTTCAGCACTGTTTAATGGAGTAGCTGGCTGTACAACAGGCGAATCTGGTGGCGGTGATCCTTCAATACCCACAACCTCCTCCAAGAAGGGCTCATCCAGGCTTTCCTAAAGCAATTATGTGACATCGAACATAAATTGATTGTCGTATTAGCGATGTATGCTAACTTTTAAGAGTCTTTATTTGATTCTGATACAATATTTCTTCAAAATATTCATCATCAATTGACCCAATAGCAAAAAAAGTGAACTGAATAACGATAGTTATTATTTTCATAACCGCTGATGTTACGAATTCTGAAATTATAAAGTACTGTACTAGTGCTCTCATCATAGAGTCCTATTCAACATTCCTATCATTAACATTGTTTAAACATTTTGTACTGTATAGTTTATACGACAAATAAGTAACAGTTTATAATTCATACAGAGTGCAATACTAGCGGTTAATGAGATTTTATTCCTGCAATTTCTACGCAATTTTGCCTTACCTTGAAAATTTTTAACTTATTTCCCCAACCAATACCTAAGAGACATCGACCCCATTCAGCTTCGTTAGTAAATAACAGTCCTATAACCGGCTCCTCCGGCAACTTTTCAGCTTCAGGATTGAGTACTCGAATGGGTGTACCAGTTGAAAAGTCCCATGTTTTAATACTTCCTATTTTCGTAATTGTATCATAAAGATAAATGAAATAATTCATTGTGACGGGTGATGCAGGTATAAATATTTTTAGGATATCTTGCCGATACCGTCAAATCCCCCGGTTGCTAAAATATTGCCAGCGTTATCAGCTACCATAGAGGTTACTTCGATCGATGCTCCATGTGAATCTAAAATTTGATAGATTAATCGTCCAGTTTCTACATCCCACATCTTAGAGATAAAATAATTATAAAATTTTAGAGCAATATTATTCACTTAGTTTCATACTTTTCGTAGGATGATTTACGAAACAAACATCTTAAATACATATGTACTCACAATAGCGGCATGAACTTATAAATCCTACCTATACATGTAGAAACGTTACCTTAATAGTAGATTCAGCGCAGGCGGTGGCAACTTGATTAGAATGATGATTAAATAAAATCTGGTTGATAACGTAAAGCCAACAATTAATACAAAGTTCACAATAGGTCTTATATTATCACGTATTTCTTGATTAGAACATTTATTGTAATAAGTGAAGCAGAAAATTTAAAAAGAATTGAAGAATTATCCATTTCATATTGCTGTACCTGACTAACTGCACGCTCATGAGTATGTGGAGCAAACATGGAATCTTGAACCGTTCGAGTTAATGGCCAACAGCTTATGACTGTTGTACCTAAATAAAAATTAAGAATAAATGAACTGAAAATTACACTAACGCAGAATGAAAAGCATGTAAACAAAAGGTACGGTAATTTATGATTAGCAATCTAGAATTTTTATAGTTTTCATCTATGTATGCTAGTTTTTAAGCAGGTATCGTTTCGAGACACTTATTTAATAACATTTACAGTTACCATTCCATAAAATAAAATAAATATACCTGTTAGTAAACGTTCATATTTATTATCGTAAAATATTGCTGATAATCGCTTATCAGTACTTCCAATGTCAATATCACAAAAACTCTAAAGGGATATTGAAAAAATTTTTTTAATTCAACAAAAACCCTCAACTCAATGAATTAGTAATTACTTCTGTATCGTTAACTACACAAATATATCGAGAAGGAGATGATAATACAGCACAAGTAAATACAGCTTACGCCAGCATAATATCACTTATTAAGGTATCAAAGTAATTGTCGATAAATTGTAAAAAATTATTCTGACTATTGATAACAAGTGATGAGAGATCTTATACTATGCTAATTTCTATACATAATCAGTAAATGTAGAATCTATAGCAATATCTGATAGTACCGCACTTTTAAATATTTAAAACATATCGCGTTTTAAAACCAACCTGCAATGAAGTTAAAGTTTGAATATCCCAGATCCGTATAATCTACGCAATTAATCATAAGATATTTACTATATTATTATTATTATTACTAAATACATAGTGAAGTTTCTGATGATCTAGATTTAATACAGCATATGTATCTATAGTGTTTCCAAAGTTCTATGAGTTACATACTCTTGCAGTCGATAAACTAATAATGTGTTGATCTTTCTCGTTAATGCAAATATCGACGATTGTAAATAGATGGCCAGACATTTTCCCTACAAAAAGACATACAAGCCTAAGAAAATCTATATAAAAGATAGTAATCATTTGCATAGCTAACGTATAATTTATTTGATAATATTGCAGTTTAGATTATTTATACTACTATTCAGGAAATGTTTTTCTGTTTATCATTTAATTTTTACCGGTTGGTCTAGCCAATATGTTGGGGTGCCATAAACGAAGAATTTTATCGATACCTAAGAGATATGTTACAGTAGAACAAATTTAACTCCTGGTATAGAATTGAGCGAGCATCCACTTTATAATATGGATGTACATAGCGGATTAATCCGTTACCTCCGGTTACGATTGCATTGGCTCGAGGAGAATAATCAAATGCATTGACTCCTTTAAATAAGGACATAGATCGATGTGGCCTAACGAATATGTAGATATATACTTTAACTATTTTTTATTATGTTCTTACTAAAATTATGAGATTAAAATATTCCTAAAGCGTGTAAAACCAACGCTGTTATCTAAATTACTTAGTACAGTCAATACTAATTAGTATATATTAAACCTTTAATGCACAAGTTGTTATTAATAACTTACGCAGTATCAAACGATTTATCTTCCAGATCTACTATAACTAAAGATTGTCGATTGCATGGTGAACAAGATACAAAAGCTTTAAGCTGAGTATAATAGCGAATCTATTAACACAAATAAAGTTAAAGAAGGTTAGTATAAATGAAGGAAATCCGTCTTTAAGATTGCATTAAGACAACGTGTTGTATGATACCTTTAACACCCAGTCATCATGAAGCTTTCTCTTCAAAATTTTACTGAAATAAGTTCATAGGTGATTTTAGCAGTATCAAATATGCAATAGACGCATGATATATTCCGGCTTAATTAATGTTATCATGGACATATTTTGTTGATATATTTTAAATTTAACCGTTAACTATTTTATTAATATAAGAAGCGTTCTCCGATATGTTAGCTTCTTGAGTTATTTTACTACTTTATTGAGAAACAATAATGGATACAAATATCCCTTTCAATTAAAACTTTAAAAATCAGGAAATATATCTTACTGTGTTAACTTAGAAGGCTCCACACTAACAACACTTGCTTCGCCTTTTTCGGAAGATTTCATGTGTAAATCTTTAGCGGAGATTCTCATCATATTAACATACCCTAAAAGGAGTAATGTGAAATGTAATTCGTCATCTCTATAATTAACTTATTCCTATTGAAGCATAATTTTATTTACAAATTTCTTAATACTGTTACATTAATAACGTTAATTAATTAAATAATAAGAGTATATGCCGTTGCGATTTAGCTCCCTTCATACCTTGATCATCACCGAATATTAGAACATCTTCATGAATTTCTGATTCATCTAAGATACAGTGAGAGACACATCTTGGTGATCTTTCAATCGGCCTGATTTGTACCACAGTCTGTAAAAATGATAATATTTATGGTTATTTCATCTTTTCATTCGATTGATATTGTAATAACAATAGTCTAAGCAATTTATCACTGTAGGCAGCTTTCTTTATAGCATTTTTGATATTATTAAAATCCGTAGCAGAAAGTAGACAGTATCATTAAATTCTTGATATGAAAATAACTTACCTGCTGTTTTCTCTTCGCTCGATGATCCCACAGAGCAATTGATCTTTCAGAACAAATCTTATAAAGTAATGAGTAATAATTAGTATAAATCTACCGTACTTTAGATAACACAAAATATACAATTTCGATATCAAGTTAATATACCCTATCTAAGCATAAGTTAGTCAATACTGTAATCTTATATCCAAAAAATAACGTTGTCTCTTACCGCTATTCTACGTAAACTTGGTAGATTACAACAATCTGTTACCCAAGCCGACTCCTACCAAGAACGAAATAGACCAAAACTACATTTATTACCTGCTATCTACAGAACATCTACTTATCACACTAAATAATATATATATATATAATATCAATAACTGCGAATACTCACGAGCACATCGCATGAAGTTGTCAGACCCATCTAGTAACGATAAATTAAGTTAAGGAAGTTGTTAGATGGATATTGAATCAAAACTATGTCGCATAAAAAATCTCATTGATATCACTACTTACATCTGAATTCCATACACATAATGTCCCTTTTTCAGTTGCAGTTACAAAAATATCGTTATGTGCTATATACATGATCCTTTTTACTCCATCGCGTCTTCGTTTATCACCTATTGTTATAACTAGAGATAAGTATCTGATAATATACTAATCCAATAATGATAATATACAACAGGTTAATTCAAAACTTAGAAAACGACTATTTTAATCCCTCCAGTGCAACTAAAGGATATATCTCTTACATTCTTTTCTCATACTGACAAATACGGTATATACCTGCGGCTTCCCCGACAGTACTTCGTCTTGATAATAGAAAAACATTATTTGAAATGTTATCATCATTTTGGAGTGCTTCAGTGAGGTCAGGATGTGCTGCATAGCCAAATAGCTGTAGAGTAGTGTATTTTTATTTTTCAGATATTAAAAATAATTTCTATATATAAATTGTATACTTGATAACATCGTTAGACGAAATTTAATTAAACCTTTCTATGTGCTACTCAATTGTTTTTAGAAGTGAATCGCCAGTAAATCTAACAAAAAATTTGCTCGTAAAATTAATACCTCACTCCAGTCAACGCTGTAGCTCGATTCATTATTAATTTTTCGAAATATTGCTTTCAAATTTTGTGTTCTAATTTCGCTACCAAAAATGATTCTTACGGCCTCACTAAATTCTTCAAATCTTTTAGCCTCTATATGAATTATTCACATATAGTAGTGATATTAAAACAACTACTACAGTCAGATATTAAATAACTATTGGAAAAATCTTGATTAGAGCATTGTCGATTGATAAAAATAATTCAAGGGTACAGGTATAGTTTGTTCTATTAAAAACTCACCATTGTTAACTTTGATCTGCTTGATTTCATCTGGCGAATAGTCTGAATCCAATAACGAAAACTCTCGAACTAATTGCTCAAACTGATTTATAACTAGAGGAAATGTTCCATAGGTAAATGGTCTACGCAGTCCACTAGTTCTACGACTTGAAGCCATCTTGCATATAAAATCAATCCAAATTTAGGGTTGTTACAATAATTGGAACACCTTTTCGTCCTACTTTAAAACCGCCTTCTTATATTCATGTATGTTCAGTGTTATTTCATATAGCAATTCTTGGATTTATGTTCCATTAGGCGTAGCTACTAAGTCACAAATTCTTCGTATAATGAATGTCTTTGGATCAATTTAATTAAAATAGTATAAGACTAAGATACTATTAAAATGTATATAAATACACCTATGATGCACCCGGCAACTTCACCGATGTAAATCAATTACAGTTACCATACCTAAAATATGTGTACAGTCAAACAGAATTTTCAAGTTATAGATAGCAAAAGTTTTCGGTATTAGATCTATTAAAATGAACCAGTCAACTTAAAAGATTAAATCTGTGTTTATATAGATAAGAGATATCATGTTTCGCTATTCACTGTACCAATATCATTTAGGAGTATTTGTACCATAGAGTCTTCAAATGTTGCTTATACAGTGGTTGAAAATGATCCTATATTAGCTAAGTGAGGAAAAGTTACTTAAAAGCTTACTGCATCAATGCAAGATTGTAAAGCAGTTGCTATGGTAACAATTAGAACATATGACTTTAGACCATATTATTAATTGTGTCGAAACAATATAGAACTCTAATTAATCTTTCATAATTATTTACACTATACTGTACCGTATAATTGATACTCTTCACGAAATTATTACTGTATATATACAGTATTATGATATGGCATGTTCACTACTGAGCTTAGTCTAAGGCTTCGGATTTACAGTGAATGCAGCATTAGCAACTGTAAATAAGCTTACTGTATGCAGAGCCAGCTCAAAGTACTGGAATGTATACAGCTGCTCTTTCATAACTATAATCTGCCGGCATTATTTAGTAGTCGATGAAGAAATATGGTGCTGAAGTAGTAGAACGCTTTATAGTAATTTAGGCAGTTGTTACTAAATAATCAAGACAGATACGCATTATTGTTAAGTTAAGGCGCGCAGTCTATAACATCTATGCTATGGGATGGTTAATGTATAATAATTGATTATTAATAGGAAATACACTGATAACTTGAAGTTTTAGCTAAAAAATTGATAAGAAATAAAGTAATCACTGAATATCAAAATTAGCATAAACGACAATTACTGGTAATTCATTAAAACTAGATGGTTACAGTATATAACGCTGAGTGCCGTACTACGTTTGTTCCAATAATTGATTGCATTAAGGGTTAAAATGCTTTCATTAAACATCATCTACAGAGATGAAATATGATACACAGATCATTTTTATAATAAAAATTATCGAATTTCCCTTCATTTGCGAATTTAAAAGCATGAAAGTATTGCATTTGCCAGCCATCGTTCAAAGTTTAGTTAAAGTAAATTCATTTTCAATGCACTAAAAGCGTTATTGCCAAGAAGCTTCTTACTTATGAATCAATTAAGGCCTGGCAAATACAAAACTTGTTATCCGCCTATGTGTGAAAGTAATACGATTAATTTTGTAATTCTTCAGGGCATATGGTACCAGTTACTGCCCATTCTTGCTACTATGTTTCCTTAGCTGGAACAAAACAAGTAAAAAATCACCATCTCACCGTATACAGTATATGCATTTTCAGTCAACATTTTACAGGAAAGTATGAATACTAATACCTAAGGTAGGCTATTTAGATACTGCAATTGAATAAATAGCAGAAGAACATTTTTAAATTAATATTCACTGAAGCTGCATTAAGTCTGCAAAGTTCAGTTCTGTAAAGCAGATGTAGGTTATCAAGATTAAGCAGTATTCAGTGAGCATTCAGTAACTCTTGATGTGGATGTGAGAAATATTCCGTAACACTATGTAGAATATAAATTTTCCATACTGAAGTCTTCTGTGGGTAATAATATTAAGAGTGTAATTAAGGCTTCGATTAATGAGATATAACTAGATAAAATTGTAAGCTTGTAGCATACGTTCAGGCATTGCAATATTGTGGACGTGGCCCACAAAGGATTTTACGAAGTAACTAAAAGGTGGTAGCAAACAAAAAAGAATATAAACTAAGAAAGTCATTATTTTAGTACGCGTACTACTAGCTCACTATGCAAATAATTTATTACACTCTTGATGGGTGACTTGGAGCATCCTCATATGAAGTAATCCATTTATTTGGGTACGAAAATTATATCTAGGTATACACACTCATATACTACATATACTTGTATAGTCTAGTATAAAGGAGAAATCTTAAATTAACAATTCATATAATACGCTTGTGTATAGAGAATTAACTTGATTGCAATCTTTAGATTGATTAATTAATAGAAATTAGTTGCTGGAATCACACCATATTTACAGTGCGTACCAGTATTGTATTGCTTTAATGACAGCATTATAAAATATTGCATTTTTTTAAAAGAGTTATTTTAATTAGTATTTGCTCTTAGGCGATATCTTTAAGTTACAGTTACATAGTTGATCGCTTAATGTTCTTGTAGCTAAATTGACCCTAGCCATAGCCATTATATTGCTAACATGAGTATATTATTATCAATATCAGTCACTAGACGATTGGGATTATTTTATAGCTTTATAGCGTCAGACGCCTTTCATCCAAAACAAATACAATGTTGTTCGTATAGGCTGTTATAAAAATATATTTCATTTATACTACAGTACATTAAATTCCTCACTATAATCAATCGTAAATAATTAAACTTGCCAAAACTGTTAAAGATATCATATCAGCCTTGCTATGCATAAATGTTTAATTATGAAAGTTTAAAGAAACAATCGGTACAAACATAGATGATATCTATAAAATTAATACGTATTCCAATTTAATTATCCAAAATGTTATAAACTCGAAATAAAAGATTATTTCTTAAGCAGGTATGCGTCACTCATTTAAGCAGGCAATGAATATGAAAGTTTACAGATATCCACATAATGCAATAACTTCTCCCTTGTAATTTTAAGACTATACGAATAATAATAACATTCAATACGGATCAAAATCATATACGGTACGAAAAGTAAACTTTACCTACCTGACCAATATTAAGTTAGTTAGCCATAGTTCGATATAATGTAACAAGTTGGACGAACTATGGTCTAGTCTATCATCAAGACAAAGCTATTTATCGAGGGTAAAGGAGACACGATGATTATAGTACAATGTCTAATCTGGACAATACTATTGTTGTACGACAATAAAGCAGACATAGAGTGGTGTACAATCATCATTTAGAAGCAGAAATGATTATTCTATGGACAAATAATTAGTTTCATTTAATTATTGATAATTATAAACGCTTGATATTATTAAGAATTAAATTGATGTTATGCATGAAAGAAACTGACAACATACACTTGATGCGTTAAGTATATTGGACTCTACAAGAACTTTGATTCGATATTAATTTAAAGGAGTTAAAATCATGGAACTTTCTTATTTTAAGATGGGTTTATAGAGTATCTTTATAGCAAAATGCTATAAACTTCAATAAGAACTTAAAATTTAGTTTAATTACAGTCAAATCTCCCCTACTTAATTTCGCTGTTTGAGAGATTTTTAGCTTTTGGTAACAGATATCGACTGAGTTTGATATTTGCTATACGTAATATCTTATACATCTAGAGTATCGCTTATTTCATAACTGTTTGATACTAGAACGCTTAATATTGGGTATAAATTTCAAAAAGCTTGGCAATAAATTAAAGGAGCTACCTATGACATTACGATCGTTCCTTACTGTTATAAGGTTTGCATTCATTTTACCAACCACAATAAATAACGCTTGACGTCCTATATATAAACATACTCTGTTTTCAAATTATATCTACCAAAGAGAATGTATGTGACACGGATTAAAGGTTAAGACGAGCTAAAATGGCGAGTAAACAACCTAATATTTTCTTTTTTCAGCAATTTGTGTTCTACATAGCTCAAAACTGCTCACAAACTCCTCTCGTCACCACTGCTCTTTAGCCTAAAATTTATATTTGAAACACTAAATTGTATTCGGGTAGCTGACCAGGTACTCTACTACCTATGTAAAATATTCTTTAAATGAACACAGACAAGGTTACTTGTTATACTATATGTACACTATCAGTAGGTAAAAATATGCAAAAAAGTAATGTAATGTGGACATTTCCTAAATTCTTAATCAGCTTCCAATAGACTCTCCGTAGAAGATTAACTTTAGGCAATAGATCGTGGTTGTTTAGACGTAGAATACTGCAGATATTTGAAATAAATTAGTTAAACACGCTCTGATATCAATTATCTCGAAATCTTGTATCTTGTGGTACTCTTTTAGTTCAATTTAATATAGAAATCCTTTTCTATCTTATCCGAATTAATGCACATGCCTGTATACAGTTGTGATAAAGTGATCTTCAAAACAATAAATCAAGAACTACAGTTTCTTGCAAATTTCACTTTATTACAGAAGTTAGGTTTGTCTAACTACCAAGGACTATCTGACTATCTGACAATCTACTTATTACAGCAAAATTCACGATTTATATACGATTAGTTATATTGCTAAGCTTTCGTAATTCGTAAATAACATTACTGATTCAGATTTAATGCTCATATCGGCTGTATCGGCGTTAATTACTGTAACAATATCGTAAATGTTTAGCAATTAGTAAAATTCTCGATCCTGTCATGTTTGATTTTAAATTCATAATGAGTACCATAGTATATACTATTTCCTGATACCATCAGAGGTTAATTATACTGTGAATTGACATGATCAATACGTTTTTTATTCTACCAAAAAGAATTAATCGCAAAAGTGAATGTTTGCTGAGGCTCAGCAGAGTGTAGGGCATACAATTAGGCCGTATCATGAAGGCAATTTACAATACTTACAACGGGCATACAGGATACATTAAACTATCGATGTGTCTGAAAGGTAATTGAATTTACTACGATCATTCCATTTCAGAATATATCAAATACGAATTAAGAGTCGATGGTACAAAT